CCCCGATGGACGGCTGCAGAGGCGGCCCTTGCCCTGCACTCCTGGGGACCCCCCTCGAGATAAGCTCCCTCCCACACCCCCAAGCCGGCCCCTGGGGGACTGGAACTCCCGGCCTGTTCCCAAGGCCCCCAGTTCCTCCTCTTCCTCCTCGTCCTCCTCCTCTTCCTCATCCAGCCAGGTGTCCAGTCTGGGGGTGGACATTCGAGCGGGCGTCAGGGAACTCTCCAACCGACACTCCCTCCCCTTGGCGCTGCCCTCCGCTCTGGACCCCCGCTCAGAGTCGCAGAAGAACAACAGCTCCCTCAGTCTGGACCACCAGCTGGTCAGAGAAACCACAGAACACCACAGAACACCACAGAACACCACAGAACACCACAGAACACCACAGAACACCACAGAACACCACAGAACACCACAGAACACCACAGAACACTACAGAACACTACAGAACACCACAGAACACCACAGAACACCACAGAACACCACAAACACCACAAACACCACAAACACCACAGAACACACCACAGAACACACCACAGAACACACCACAGAACACTACAGAACACCACAGAACACACCACAGAACACTACAGAACACCACAGAACACACCACAGAACACCACAGAACACTACAGAACACCACAGAACACACCACAGAACACACCACAGAACACACCACAGAACACACCACAGAACACCACAGAACACTACAGAACACTACACACACCACAGAACACTACAGAACACTACACACACCACAGAACACCACAGAACACTACACACACCACAGAACACCACAGAACACCACAGAACACTACACACACTACAGAACACCACAGAACACCACATAACACTACAGAACACTACAGAACACCACAGAACACACCACAGAACACACCACAGAACACTACAGAACACCACAGAACACTACAGAACACTACAGAACACTACACACACCACAGAACACCACAGAACACTACAGAACACCACAGAACACTACACACACCACAGAACACCACAGAACACTACAGAACACCACAGAACACTACAGAACACTACAGAACACTACAGAACACCACAGAACACACCACAGAACACTACAGAACACTACACACACCACAGAACACCACATAACACTACAGAACACCACAGAACACCACAGAACACCACAGGACACTACAGAACACTACACACACCACAGAACACTACAGAACACTACACACACCACAGAACACCACAGAACACCACAGAACACCACAGAACACCACAGAACACTAAAGAACACCACAGAACACCACAGAACACTACAGAACACCACAGAACACTACAGAACACTACAGAACACTACAGAACACCACAGAACACCACAGAACACCACAGAACACTACAGAACACCACAGAACACTACAGAACACCACAGAACACTACAACACACAGAACACCACAGAACACTACAGAACACCACAGAACACTACAGAACACCACAGAACACTACAGAACACCACAGAACACTACAGAACACCACAGAACACTACAGAACACCACAGGACACTACAGAACACTACACACACCACAGAACACCACAGAACACCACAGAACACCACAGAACACTACAGAACACAACACACAGAACACCACAGAACACTACAGAACACTACACACAACAGAACACCACAGAACACTATAAACACCAAAGAACACTACAGAACACTACACACACAACAGAACACCACAGAACACCACAGAACACCACAGAACACTACAAACACCACAGAACACTACAGAACACTACAGAACACTACAGAACACTACAGAACACCACAGAACACCACAGAACACTACAGAACACTACAGAACACTACAACACCACAGAACACCACAGAACACTACAGAACACTACAGAACACTACAGAACACCACAGAACACCACAGAACACTACAGAACACTACAGAACACTACAAACACCACAGAACACCACAGAACACTACAGAACACTACAGAACACCACAGAACACCACAGAACACTACAGAACACCACAGGACACCACAGAACACCACAGAACACTACAGAACACTACAGAACACCACAGAACACCACAGAACACTACAAACACCACACTGCACTAGCGTTTGGGTTGATGTGTATTGATTGGTTACAATTGCGAACACACTGAATTTTAGAAGTAGTGGTCCAATAAGATTGTTAGTTTGTTTACCTGCATTCACTTGCACTTTAAAGTCAGATAAATGTACATATAACCATACATCCAGCAGCCGTTATCTTAACTAAACAACGTGTTAAGCCACTTCCTCCTGTTTCCAGTCTTTTTACAAAGCTAAGCTAACTAGCTCATGGCATCCGCTTCATATTTTTACAGTGGCATCTTCTGATAACTTTCAGCAAGAATCCAAAAAAAGGAATTTCATGAAATGATTTTATCTATTCCTTAAATGTAATCATTGTTTGATTTGAAGATTGTTATGAAAATTCTCCTCTCCTTAAAATGTCTGACATTTCAGCTTCTGCTTCCTTTACAGAGTTTTGTGGCTCCAGCCGGTCCAGATTACGACGGCCCCAAAGTGAAGCCCTCGGCCTCAGCCAACGCCATCTATTCTCTGGCAATCAGGTAGGATTTACTGGCACTATGAGGACGGATGAGTCGAGCATTTCAACTTTGACTGAAACTATTTTTTCTTAGTGCTTGTTGTTTCTTCCACAAACGTTTAGCTTTTTACTGTCTATAGTTCACATATCCATGAATACAGCTTTAGTTTAAATATTTGTTCTTTGTTTCCAGACCCTCTCCAGCCCCGAGGCCAGTGGCAGGAGAGGAGGCCCGTGACAGTGAGGAAGAGTCGGAGTACATGATCCCCTCTTCTCGCCCCGTCCTGCCCCCCGTTACTGCAACTCCTGTAGGGGAGCTCCCCCCCGTCCCCAGGCCTTCACAGCCTCCATCAGCACTCCAGACGCAGACACAAGCCTCCGCACTCACCTCACGGTACTCAAAACACTTAATAAATCCACCTATAGCACATCTGTACTACTTTGATAAATGCAGTTTGTTATGGTTGTTGTTTCATTATTGTTGTTTGTTGTTGTAGGCTGCCAATGGCTGGAGTGGAGGATGGACCTCAAATGTATGAAGCCATGTACGACATCCAGGCCAGGGCCCAGCAAGCCAGAGATTCAGGTATTTAGATTTCCTCAATCAAATCAGTTTAGAGGCAGAATGTGTCACTTTTTAAACCTATATGCTTCCGACACCCAGTCTGCATGACAACAGTCACTCAAACCAATCAACCTGAATTTGTGAATATTAGTTTCACTCCAAAACAAGACCCCCACCATGTGAGAAAACAGGGTGTCCGCTGGGTCGTAAAAAGTATTAAAAGTTGATAAATCAATTTATCGAAAATTAAGGCTCTTTAAAAATATTAAACGGCATTTTCCAAGGTATTACATGTTGTAGCTTGTTTTCAATAAGTATATCAATTGTCCAAAGAGGTTGTATTCTACAGTTTGCCTGAATGTAATCATTGCGTAGGTGCGTTATGGGGAAATGCAAGTTTGGGTCCAAATGGTTGAAAGATAAGGAGGAAGGACAATCAATACTGTATAGCAGTGGCGAACCGTATCTATCACAACCGGACCTTCTGTAGACACAGACACCCCCCCGCCCCCGGCGTTATAATGTCCGTCTTTCACTGAATTGTCGTCTTGAAAAGGGTACTCACAACAATTCCGTAACAACATCATCTTCACCTGTTGCACTTGCCATTTCAACGTTAAAAACAATAAAACGGCAAATGAATTGCTACGTGGCATTTATCTAGCTCCTCTGTCTCGAGCCAGTGAACTAACGGGCCTTCTAGAATACCCTGGAACCGAGGGAAACTGAAAGAGTACGCCCATTGGCTACAAATCAATATATGATTGATCAAACTGTCAGTCCAAACGTACGCTCTCATTCAGTGCAACGGCCAGGGCATTCTATCACGGATATAAAATACCTTGTTCTAACCAGAGACCCAGAACAAGATCTGATTGGTTGCTTTCTTTTCTCGCACAAAACCACTGAAATGCGTAGTGCCTGGTCCGAGAAGGACAAACAGATCAACGTATTTGTAATATTACAGATCAACAACACAGATACCATTCTCATTTATACATTTTATATACATTTTATTTATATAATTAAATCGATTTTTTGTTTTTATCTGAGTGTTCCAGGGTATTCTCTGAATACTTTGAAGACCCTGACGGTTCGCCACTGGTATATAGTAAAGTGTGTCGCCAATGTAACTCTAATTAAAACTCCAAGTGGCTATAAGGTCTTAAAATGTATGGAAAGGGTCTTAAAAAGGTCTTCCATTTGACTTCACGATTAAAGTACACATAAATACTCATAGTCGTGACTCATCTCAGTCTATTTTAGTGTTTACATCAGCCTGTGTAAATGAGTAGTCCCAAGGATATGCTAAATATAATTAGTCAGATACGTAAGTGTTAATAAATGTCTTTCCCCCGCCCCAGACTACTCAGAGCTGCCCCCTCTGGCGCTGTCCAACGGTCGCAGAGAGCAAGCTGCGGAGGACAGGGAGGAGGAGGAGGAGGAGGAGGAGGAGGAGAACGGGTACGACTTCCCTAAACCGCGGCTGCCGATGGCCACGACCCGACGGACCCTTTCAGAAATCGGGGCGTCGTCTTCCTCCTCTTCATCTTCTTCATCATGCTCATCCTCCACAGCAGCCTTCAGCCGTCTTTCTCTTGATTCGGATGCTGGAGCTGCAGCACGTAAGGATACTTGCCCCATGCACATGATCCAGAGCTAGTTTGTAATGCATGAGTAACTGTACAAATTATTTTAAAGACAATTTGAGAAAGAAGGCGCTGTACAGTAGCATATCATAATCAAAGGCTAATGGTGACCGCTAAATAGAGGATATCAAAGCACCACATCGGGCTTTCTGAGTAAATAGTTGGAAAACATTATGTCACTTTTTGCGATTTGGATGAACTGACCCTTTTCAAATATGTGCTTTTATTAGATGATGTGACACTAAAAAGTTTTACATTAGGGGTGCCACATAAGGCAACTGGTTTGTTTCATAAAATGCATTGGATGTAAAAAAGATATAAAAGCAGCTTCTTTGTGCAGGTGCTTACTAAAATAGCTTGAATAAATTAAACTAAATATCTTGGATTATCACAAAAGCCCTCTGACTGGGAGAGCAGCATGAAAAGTCGACTAAGAGGTTTTTCTGCTACCTGATGAAGGCCAGCCATTATACTGATGTTCAGGAAGCTCTCTGAAGTTAATATTAGACTTGGATGAATTACAATGAATTGATTGACATAACTAATTTGCTCAGTATGTGCAATCACTGTGTGCAAAGAATAGAGAAGAATAATTATAGAGAGCTACTCGGTAACCTCAGTGAATTTAAAACCAGAACAGTAAGTATTTCCCTCCAGGACTTAAGAGAAACCTGCTGTTGGACTGACCAGTGACCGCTCTGCGGACGTTTCACTGCTACACACATTATGTAGAAGAAAGCAGGAAAGCATTTCCATGAGTAATATTCATCTCTCTGCAGTGAGCTGACATTCTCTACCTACACAGTGGGATGATTGCCGGCTGTCTGTGTCCCACTAAAGACTTGAACCTTTATATCTGAGGACCAATTAAGTGTCTCTCAGACAAGCTGACAAGCTCTCGGATTATAATTGGTCTCTCTATGGGAGCTTTATTATAGGTTGCTGCAGATTAAAGGTCAACCAGTTCACCGTATATACAGTATCATTACAAAAACTCATAGCTTACTGCAGACAAACACTCAGGGGGCTGTTTGCCACAGGTGCTTTATTTTGGTAATCAGGATGTATTTGAAATGAGTTGGAGATGGTTCCCAGTCAAATGTCAATATAGGTCATTGTACATTAAGATTTACTTTTAAGAGTATTTCAAAGGAGTTTATATTATTTCAGGTTTAGATGGATAGATAGATAGATAAATGGATGGATGGATGGATAGATTGATGGATAGATTGATGGATAGATAGATGGATAGATAGATAGATAGATAGATAGATGGATAGATTGATAGATAGATGGGTGGATAGATAGATGGATGGATGGATAGATGGATGGATGGATAGATAGATGGATAGATAGATAGATGAGATATAGATGGATAGATGGATGGATGGATGGATAGATACCTTATTGATCCCAATTTGGAAAATTATTATGTCACAGAGTGTAATCAGAAATTAAAATACAATACTTAAATTACTTTAAAAAGTGGAGAATTAACAATATAATTTTCCAAAGCTTTAAAGGCTTATAAATCCCCTCTCTTCTTCTCTCCAGCCCTCTCCGAGCCGGTGGAAGCCCCAGAGAGACCTCCCAAGCCCCTGCCCCGACGAATCAACTCTGAGCGCCGGCCCAGCCCTGTCCCGCCCGTCCCTGCCTCCCCCAGCGGTGGGGCAGCAGGGGGAGAAGCCAACCCTCAGATCATCATCGAGATCGAGCTCCTCGCGAGTCAGGGGTACTCTCAGCAGGACATCCAGAAAGCACTGATGATTGCACAGAACAATATCGAAATGGCTCGGAACATCCTACGAGAGTTCGTCTCTATTCCCCCCACCGCGAATATTCTTACATAGCACGCTTTGTGCCTCTCTCTCTTTCTCGTGTCTTGCTCTCTCGCCCTAGCTTGGCACAGCCTGGTTGGGTAAAGGTTGCCTGCAGCACTACCTCTGTGCTGACGCCCGACATCCCTGTGGGTTTTTAACTGGCTGTTACTCCAGAGCGCCCTGGACTCCATGCGCTTTCAACAGTGTCCGGCCTTCTGTAAACCGCTACTGCAGGCCTCTTCGTTTTCCACGAGACATCCACGGGGGGGGGTGAGTGAGCGCGTGCGGAACAATGATGGGATGCCGCGTGGCGCGAGACTTCTCGTAGGACGTCAGGAAGACAGATTCGTATCTTTCAAGTTGAAGCCTCTTGCTGACAATGTAACCAACACCTCACAAATAAAACTAAAAATGTATGTCTATATGAAAGTGTAATATATGAGTAAATATATATTAAATATGTGTAATATATACAGTACGTGCATATACAGTATGTAAAAAAAAAAAAAAAAAAATGACTTCAGCTTTGAGGGTTGCTGTTGGTACAAGCGATGTTGGTAGACGGGGACCAGGTTAAATTTGACCGTTTTCTCAGACTGAGGAAGACGTTCATGTGAGGAAGAGTCGGGGCGACCTCACCATGAGTTCACTCAGCAGCTTTGAAGACGTGCGGCAGAGCACTTCATCATGGATTCAGTCTGGAATGGCCTTTGATAAACAACGTTGCTTTGGTACTTTTCTTTTTATAAACATGCTTGTTTTGTCGTGTTGTATTTTTCAAAGTAGCATGACGATAGTTTGGGGTCTGGACTATGGTCTGGCAGTATGTTTTTATAATGAGTATGTGTATGTGAGCATGTTTCTGTGTGTGTGTGTGTGTGTGTGTGTGCCAGACTTCTCCTCTGCTCCTAAATGAACAACATGAATGTGGTGTTAGTCAGTGTACGTACTACTGCTCTCACTCTAAACCGGTGTAGCTGTAGAGCCTGGCGCTGAGATTATTAGAGGACGTGCTAATGGCGACGACCCTGCAGTACCGACAGGCTCGTGTTGTGTGATCCCTGGTGGCTGAAACATTCTGTCTTTGTCTAACTTCATTGGCTGGCTGGTCGAAGTGTTCTGTCTCCAGCTCAGTCCAGTGAGAAGAAAGAAAAAAAAACGTCATCGAATTACTTTGGTAATATATTATTGTTATATGATCATAAATATTGTTATTATAATTCATTCAGAAGTGCTTCACTGCTGCTACTATTGTTAGTGCTAAACAATTAAGCCTTAAATGTACATTTGTGAATATTGTGTTTAACCGTCATTCTGTTTTTTTTAGAGTGACAGTATCCCCCATGTTTCTCTGGTCCGTAATGTAGCATACTTGAAAGTACAAGCAGCCTGTGAGCCTGCAAGCGGTCAAATCTTCAGTGTTTTAAACCCTCTTTTTTAAAATGATTTACGATTCTCTACAAGAAGACTCTGCTACAGAAACCAGACGCTTTGTAACAGGCTCAGGCTTCCATCACATCCATTTCTCTTCTCTGTGGGAGTTTCTGATTCTCTGTTGTTGTTTTTTAAAGTAGGCTCATGGGTTTGCTGGCTCACCCCCAAGTCTACATTAAAGTCAGTGTTCGGGCCATCTGTGAGAGCTAACTCAGGAATAATGTTTACCCACCACAGAACACCACAGAACACTACAGAA